GCAAGTTTTCTTGCAGGATTTCATGGAATAGATGATCAATGTTCTTATGAGTCTCTTTGCCTTCTGGAATGCCAGTTATCTGGATATTTGGATGTTTGATGATATCTAGTACTTCTCATATATTATTCTCATTTTTGGGGGCATTTTTCTCAGTCTTCTTGGTGGATTTTTCTAGGCCAGCAATTTTCTCTTCTATGTCTGAGATTCTAATTTCTTTATGATCCAGTCTGCTTTTAATACTTTCAAGGGAGATTTTGACTTCCTGTATTATAGCCTTCATCTCTAACAGTTCTGTTTGATTCTTTTTTAAAGTGTGTAATTCCTCTTTCAGATCTTGTAAGAATTTCCTCATCTCCTGGAACTCGTCAGCTTCTTTCTCCTTTCTCTTCTGCAATTCATTGTCTCTCTTCTCTTCCATCTCTGTTAGCTTTGCCATTATGAATGTTCTAAATTCTTTATCAGATATTTCTGTGATTTCCATTGAACTGCTTGTGGTTGAAGAGAAGTTATTCTTTTCCCTTGGAGGAGAGGTATTGTCTTGCTTCTCCATATTTCTTATGGTCCTGTGGTGATTTCCAGTCATCTGATGGATGGTGTGTTTCTTCCTAATTGTTGAAGTTCAATCTGAATATTTAGGAGCAAGCAGAAAGAGTTGATCTGGAATCTCTTTGCCGTTGTGTTGTGATCGCTTTGTGCAGCAGATTCAGTCGGTATTGAGGAATATGTTAACCCTAATAGTATTTGAATGTTTAGCTACAGTGCCCTTAAATCCATCTAGAAACATAGTACATGGATATTGAGGAGTGGAGAGATGAGAAAAAAGAAAATGAAAAAGAGAGAGAGAAACAACAACAAAGAAACAGGAAAAAAAAGAAGGAAAAACACTAAAAAAATTATTATTGTTTTTCTTTAAAAGATAAAAAGCACAAAATAGAAAACTGCACAGTGCGCTTGTGTGCCGCACGAAATAACTAGTTCGCAGGAGCCATGAGGAATCTTCTGGAGGCCTGCCTCTTGCCTTTCCTGCCTGGCTGGAAGGACTTAAGTCCTTAAGCTGCTGGGTCCTAGACTCAAATTGCTCATTCAGTCATGT